CTGTATTACCTTAAGGTCTCTACTTATTTTCCTCGTCATTTCATTCCACGTGTCTACATTATCCACCGGAACGCTTTACTCTGATCATTCGAAAACGCCAAGAAAAAAAAAAGAAGAAGAAACTTGCCATTAATTAACGTTAGTTGCCATAGTTCTCTTGGTTTCGTTTTTGCGGTAAGAAAGGGAAACTATATATAGAGATATACAGATATAAATAAATAAACAAAAAAAAAACTGCAAAAGCGGAAAGGAAGAAAGAAAGGGAAAAGAAAAAAGAACTAGAGAAAAACACGATCCAGCAAAAACTAATACCATGATATAACGTATTCTGTAAATATTAATTTGCCCATTATATATATATATAAATATATATATATTTATATACATATATGTTATAAATATATATTATATAAATATATATAACACCATTGATTATACTATTATAAAAAAAATATATTATTACCAATTGTAATTTTTATTTTATTTTTTTTCGTCAACCTTATTGTCACCGACGATCTTTGTTAGCTTTCCTTTTTTGTGTTTTCTTTTCCTGCTTTATCATCGCACACTTGTTGCAGTATCATGCGTATAAGAAAGCGGAAACGAAGCCTTTCTCGAGGAGAATGCAAAATGTTCAGTAGCTTCTACAAACACAGATTCAATGATGATATTCCGAATACGTGGAAACTATACTTTCGCTGATTTACCTCTTTTCCTTCGATTTCCCACGCAGTGAATCACGGCAAGAGTTACATTGTTCACGTGTGTAAATTACACCTTTTTTTTTTTCAATACAGTTTCGTTCACGGACTATGGAAGAGAAAAATTGTTAGATTGTGTGTATTACTCGTAGGTATACGATTGTGTAATATGGAATGCTTGTTTCACGGGTGGAAACGGTTTTACGATTAAGACTATACATTTTAGAATTGTAAGTACATAAGCGACAGGAACAGGACAATTTTACGAGACTAAAAAAAATAATAATAATAATAATGATAATCCCAGACTTTTTTGAAAATAGTTCCCACTTTTACGTAATACAAAAGAAGATTTACAGATGCCATGGCCTTAACGAAATGTACACCTAAAAAAAAAAAAAA